CTTGTTTCTAAACTTACCTCATAACATCGATGTTATCAGGTAATTCTCTCGATTGATTACTTGCATCCTTTAATAAAGTTCTGAACCTTAATAGAATTAAATTGTAACATTGACGTAAGTACAGGTATACCTTCGTTATAATCAACGCAAGAACAGAATATTGTAACAGGAAAGTTATCTAGAGAAAAATCAAGCGTGATTAAATATTTCTGATAATACATAAATGTTTCATATAAATATATATGAATATATATACAATAAATAAGTTAAATTAGATCGTTATGAGTAAAGTAAATTAAATAAAAGAGCGCCACAGACAGCCAAGGCTTAATTTTTAATATCTATAATAATATTGCTGTACATGAATATTTAAATAAAATTTTCAGTATTTTAAATTACGCGCCGAACATAATCGATTTTTGAAAATGTAAGTTAAAGCTAGAAATAATTATATCATAAATTAAATTGATCGTTAATTTTATTATAATAATGCTAACAGGCATTTTAACCTTTTCTTTAAATATTCATGTAGAGAAATATTAGATGCTAAAGATAGAATCCTTATCATCTGGCTTTCTTCTATTTAATTTAAATATACTTATTCAATTAAATGTAAAATGTATTCATATATATATTTACTTTCTCTTGTAGAATGTCTAATAAAATGAATAATTAAAAAAATGTTTAAAAAAATTTTTTATTTTATTTTATTTATAAAGAGAAAACAATATACAATATCGTTGATTTTTATACAATATTATAGTAATTTAGTTAAATCTAAAAAAACAATTAGTTAGATACAGTTCTGAAAATAATTTTGTTGATTTATTAAAATATATATCAAATCTTTTACAGAGTATATATTGTCATCATGCTTGAGTTTTCTACATAAATACATATTTTTACCGACAAAATTATTTTCAGATCTCTATCAGATATTTCAACAATTATTCTTTCCGTTATACTTTTTATATGATTATTACATTTATATACGAATAGCAGACACATGTGGAACATTTTTCTCATTTCTTCAAACTTCACTTTCATGAAAGAAACAATGCAAAAATTGTTTTCAATTACTTCTTATTATTATTTTTCCTATGCGTGCGAATAGAAATTATATAAGAAAAAGATAAATATATATAGGATAGCGATCGAAAATATTATACTATTCCATTTAATCAATCCAATTTTTTAGTAATCAATCACTCAGGGAAGTGTTTCGCTATTTCAGCTAGAATTCTAAGTATTATATCTAAAATGTATCGCTGATTTTTGTATCTGCTAGAAAATTTTCTATCATACCTAACTTTTATAGCAGCAATATTCTAACAATACTTGCAAGAAAAAATAGCTAGTGTAAGGTCTATATATTTATTTGACTGCCGTCGCTAAACTTTTCTGTCTACCACAGTTATTTTTATGAGATATGTGACAAGCTTATATTTGACTAGACGTCACAGAAAGACTTTTTTGCTGAACTTAACAAACGATTCAGATATAAATTCTATCTCTGTCATTTACATCGATTAGATATGAGACATATACGATATCGTAGTCCTCGCTAGCCATTTATCTATTTCAGTTAATTTTTCATAGCTAGAAAATTTTTGCTTCAATTGTAAAATCACTTTTTTCAATTTTATATCAATTTTGTACTAATTTTATCGAAAATAGAACCAAAATGGTACAACATTTTGTGCGTCATCTTGTATGAACATATTTTATATATTTATACATACATATATGTTCTTATATTGAAAAATTGTTTTACCCGGATTTCTCTCTTATTATAACAACTTAAAAAAGCTTATCATTGCCATCGCTGCTATTATCTTGAAATTCTAGTAGTTTCGTATTTTTACGTTTTGGTAACGTGATACGAAAATAAATCAGTGCACGAGAAAGGAACTTCTGAATACAGATAAAAAGGATTTGATGTATTTACAACGTGTTTTTCGGGTAGTCCGTTTGATCGGCTGGCGATCGTCTCGATTGCACGTTCGTTCAGTTGCCGATTGCAAAACGAGAAAATTTGATCCTCGTGCTTCGTTCATTTCGTCTACCGATGCCGCGATAGATCGTTCCTAGCTCTCCGGTTGGTGCTCGCAATCTACGTGTCGTAATTTGCTCAATCGTTCGATCTCTTTCTGGTCCAACGGTCTTCCCCTGCCAATCGCGCTATCGAATGGGCGGGTAGAACATTAGTTACCGGTAACAAGCGCGCGGAACAAGTACGTTACAACGTACCGAGGGCATGTTCTACACAACCATAAAATACGCGTCACACCATACTATTTGTGCAAATCTCGCGGCCTAGGCGTGGATTTGTTTACCGGACAAGGACTCTGAACGGACATGGTATTTCAAATCGATTGCGATCGACTTTTCAAATGCGCGTTTACGTTTGCCTATTATTGTCTCCGATATAGAAAGAAAATGTCATTTTTCAGTATTTGTCAATAATCGAGAGAAAAGTAAACCAGTGATGAAAATAAATCTTTTCATGTTAGTAAAACAGTGAAGTAACCAAAAATATTTCGTATCCGGTCATTCGCTGACACGGCTGTTTTTTTTAGCGACGCGACAGCGTTTACCTTCGTTTTTCCGGCCACCGAACCCTCCACAACCGTCTCTCCGACTCGCTTTTCGTACCGTTGATTCGCGTATGTAGTTCGTAGTTTGTCTAGTTCAAACAACGACGAACAGTTAGACACGGCAGACTTTTATTCGCAGGCGCGGACGGCGTGGTGCCGCAACTCGTTACCGGCGCCGACACCTGCGCCAGATGGTGAAATAATTTGAAACTCGCGAATAAGCGACAGGTCCTCGGGTTACTGAGCTTCAGGAAAACTGAAAATTGCTTGTACTTTCTTGGTTCCACGAGCACGGTGGGATCGTAGGGCACTCTCTCCGTCCTTCCCCAGCCAGTGGCGAATTGGAAGAGAGGATACGTTGCACGTGGAAAGTGACAGCCGTGTTGAAAGAGCTGCCGCGGGGCTTGTGGAAATCCCAAACTTGTCGATAGATTCGTTAGAGCAAACCCGGGGCTCTCACGCGGAACTGTCGGGCTGCGCAACCGTGTTTCCACCCCCGAACTTCCGAGCAAATTGAATCACGCGGAATTTCGTGGTAACAATCTTCTGTTTGACTTCGAGCGACCGGTTGATTCACTTCGTGCCCAGGATCCGCGCGCGTCTTCACAGCCACGTCTTCCAAGTCAGGCATAGCGATCTTACTTCCCTCATTGAACGGGTTTGAGTTTTCTTCTGTGTAACTCGATCACGATGTATTTGAAAAGATCGTGTTGTAGAGACCGTACCGAAAGATAACTTCTTGTTAGTGAATTTTCAAGAGTATACCATCGACACGACTTTTTAATGAAATAGTCGGATTTAACTCTTGAACACTATCATATACTCTATCAGTGAGTTTCACGTGTACCTAATGCCCATTTCTATCAATGTAGTTTAACTTTAATCTCAACTTACTCTTCATCTTTTTGTAGTTCTAAACATTAGAAAAAGATGAAAAATAAATTGAACCGCGCGCGCGCAAGATTAAAACTAATTTTCGTTGATGGAAGCGAACATAAGTGAGGAAAGTTATTAAGCGCTATGCTTTCAATAGTCAACAAGGAGTTCAATTCATTTTACTAAAAACTAGGACAAGCGGAGATAAGTTTTTAAAAATTCAGTCCGTTATATAAACTTGACTCTTTTTGTGGTGTCATTATTACGAAAAAAAGCGTATTAAACGATTTCAATTTTTAAACAGTTTTACATTATTATATATTTTATTATTATGAGGAGACAATGGACATATCAAGATCGAATTTGATAGTGTCCTTCTTCTTTCTTTGCTTTTAGATCAACAATTAAATTATTTTTTGTAGAAGTCTGTAATGTTATAAATGTTTTGTCATTGAAAATGTGAAATGTCTGAAACTCTTACTTTAATTAAGAGTAGACTCGAACATATTTTCTCGAATATAAAATTTACGTGTTAATTGCAATGCATCATTCAATAATCAATACAGTTCTATAAAATGAATGGGGCAATTGTTTATTTTTACACGTAAGATATTTATGTCCAACAAAATGCACAATATGTGATATTTGTCATAATATTCATGTAACATAACAATGAGGTATATGAATACTGTTTGATTATTTTAAATTACCGTTTTTGAAGTAAAATGTTACACATTAACAAGAAAATGTGAATACCGTATAATTTACGTGATGCATTTCTAAATAATAACGTACGAATGTTTAATTTATCATAGTATATTTTCGTATATTTTCGAATTACATTAATTCAGTATTTTATCCAACACCCTGATTCTCGGTGAAACTGTTCTCCGTGTAAAGTGTCGACGTTGATTTTTCAAATTTGTCCGCCTTTTGTATTTACAGCCGCAATTAAAAATTTACATATATTCCATTTAAATTATCACTGTAGTTTTCTAGAATTTCAATTTTACGTAGTACATCTGAGTATTGTAGCTTATTTGAAAAGATGCGATTCTCCAGCGTATACGATGCGTATGTTTTTTGTGAAATGTTCTGTGTACGATTGTTACCGCGTAACTCGAGTAAAGCAGAGGCTTTAGAGAAAATAGAAAGTCGGCTTCGAGATATCCGAAGAAAGCCATTTGATTTGATAGCAGTATTTGATGTACAAACAAATTGGTATCTAATGTTGTTTGACGATCTTGTTTTGTATCTTGTTAATTACAACGAGCGGTCATTCTTTTTATGTGTTGGTGTATAATTTAGTTTTGGTATTCTCATACCATAATAAATCACAGCGTCGATATTTAACTGAAATAAAATTGCTGCGTGTGTTAATTATTTATTCGTTTTGCGCGATATATAAAAACTTTTTACTAGAATAAGAATTATAAATTAAATAAATATTTGTTTTTGTTTGCAGATAAACAATAGTGCTGCTGCGTACCAACTTTGGGAATAGAAATGAGTTGAGGATTGACTACGATGTTGAGTCGTCTCTCGGCCGTGGTGGCCTTCATTTTGGTTCACCAGATATATTTTCTATGCACTGCCAGTACGTTGTTAGGTAAGTTATAAAATCCTGTAATATTTATGTAATATTATATATATATATATATTAATATATTTAAAACTAAATAAGAGAAGCATCATTTATGGTCAAAGTCAGATGTGTGTGTGTTGGAATACTTCTATACGTATTTAAATATTTGAAACATATATGTGGTAACTGCACGCAAATTACAAACTTATTGTTAGTATAATATATTTGAAACGTATATGGATATTTCATGTAACAGGAAAACAAGCTTGTAATCTTTATTGTGAAACACATGATCACTCTATAATATGTTTAATGCCACGAAGGTAAAAACTAACAGAATTAAAGATAAAAAGGAGAGTATGAAAAGCGGATTTACTGTATACATGAACGAAATTTTTATACCATTTATTTGTTTTTCTGGCTTGCTCGCGGGCAACGATAGTCTTTATTGTCAGTGAAAAATATTCAAGCGCAGTTGTTGGAAAAAGGAAAATCAGATTATACTGAATAACGGGCTATGAGCTGAACGGTCGGTATCCAGGACCTTGTCCTATAATTTTCCAATTAAGGCATTGGATTCTCATAAATCCACAAGCACGGACGGTTTCCATAAATTTGACGCCGTACTGAGCGCGCGACAAACCGCGGTCGATCCGACGACGTACTTTTAGATTCGAGGCGGCTCTTACAACGTTTGGATGAAATGCTGAAATTGAAGGGAAAGAAGAACTATGAGAATCGTGCAATTGGTCACGATACTTCCGAATGGTACGGAAGCGGAAGTCTGTTTTTCCTTTGACAGAAATAATATAGAGCACTTCCGAAGCATATTGGATCTGGGCACGACTGCTCGCTTTGTGTAACGCGAAAATATATTACAACAAGGCGGCTCGAGAATTCATCGAGAAAACGCGTTTATCCTTATTTTTAATAGTTTATTTACAAAATTTAATGCGTAAAAATATGCAGTGTTTTTCCAAGTTAATTTTAATTCTATTTTTGATTGGTAAATACTTTATATTTCATATATATACATAAATATTAATAATATTTAATTGTATAATTAAAGAGATTTTTTTTTAACTATAATTCCTTCCGTTCGTTATTCTTCTAATTCGTGTAAATTCACGCGCGACAGTTTCTTTCACAAACACGGGTACTTTCTGATGCGTTGAGACGTAATCCGTGCTTGCAAACGTATCTAAAACGAAATCCTGACCAGTAACCGGGCTTATCCCACGGAGATTATGTGCTTCGTCTTTCTAGCGGATATTAGGAGTTCGTTTGCCTCATTCCTTTTCCTGCAGGATGTTTCCTTGTAGCGAGAGAATTCAACTTGTTAGATTGGCGTAAGCGGAGGAGAGGTCCTTTGCACAGTTGTTGGAACTGATACATCTTTCGAGGATTATCCTCCTACGAGAAATAGTTGGGTCGAGACCTTGGAACGTGGATAGAGAAATAGAGAGAGAGAGAGAGAGAGAGAGAGAGAGAGAAAGCAAGGCAATTCGTCAAAGTATAAGGTGAAAGGGAATTGCTCGCGCGCGAGGACCATCAGCTGGGAAAATAATTTCGAAGTGCATCTTTCACATAGTCGGGATTTCTTAGAAGCCCGTGGCAAGATGAGAAAAATCCACGGCAAGAGTTCCTTCGACTGCGGAGCCGAATCTGAACGAAGCCGGCCGTGGGGAACCTAGGAACCGTTTGAATCATCGAATTTGATGGAGAGAGATATTGCCATTCCCTTGCGTGGTCTCTCCGAATTCTATTGAGGTTTCCTTTATTTTTCAGCATTCTGCTTGTCTCTTTCAACGGTGCTGGTTTTATAAGAGACCAGATTGCACGGTTTCCCCAGTATCGTCTCGAGAAACGACGACGTTGTTGGGAAACTGGCTTTATTACCTCTTTCTGTTCGATCTGCGCGCGTACCGTGCCAAGCTATGTAAAGCTATGCTTATAAGATGCTTGCTTGATGCTTTCGATCGCGGATGAGAATAGAGAAGATGACGCAGCTGCAAAAATTCTACCAAATTTCTTCCAAATAGTATTGAAATGTATGTGTATATATGTATACTGCATACTGTATGTATACATGTATATATTCTTTTTCAAAGAAAATATCCATGGGAATCTCAAAAGTATATATGAAATATATAGATAATAATAGATACCTGCATACAATTCATTTTATATTATCATTTAATTCTCATATCATATTGTTTGTTATAATTAAGTTATTGTTGGATAATTAACTTAATTTACTGTAGATTGTGATCTTCAGCATCCAAGTCTCTTATTTACTCGACGAGTCATTAATACGACACGTGTTTATTCATATTACTTTGCGAGAAATTTTTACTTTTTCCCTATATAGATGAATCCGTTTAGGTAGATGTATGCACAATACGCATATTATTTGTAAAACATCTCGTAACGGGACGTTTACTTTTGTTATATGCATTTACCTCGAATTTTCCTAGCATTATTTATTCAATGCAACGTAATAAAAACATACCGATGGCTACGTATTTGCGCGCATCGAAACAATTCCTCGCTTTTGTGTTTTAACGTTGAGTACATGTGATATTGCGAATTTAAGTTTGCTTTCGGCAAACGGTTGTGTTTATTTTTTCACATATTACAACTAAAATATTTTGATGAAATGATTGTGACAAAACTTCTCGTGTGATTTTTTTTTTTAATAAAGAGACACTTTTTTTTAAATTTATTGTATTTTTTCCTTACATTTGAGACATATCACATATTGAGAAATCCGCCATTGGTTATTCAAGCTTAAGGAGAATATACTTACGTGTATCGTCTTAGGAAGTTACATAGTCGCGTATGCTTCTCACTGATAAGGCCATTCAAGATGTTGGCAAGTGCAGAGATTCGCACCATCGCCATTGCATTGTATATCGAGGCAGAAAATGAAATCTTTTTCGATGTCGTACACGTATCATGAATAACTTTTCCTACCACAGATTTAATATTTCAAAGAAAATAGTATTATATATAATAGTTTTTCCGTATTTTTAACTATGTTCTCGTGACATTTAACTTTATTTATTTAATGCAAAGTTTGATTACAAATTGATCACAGAATCCCAAGATGAAAGAATAGTAATAATTTTAGAAAACTCTGTTATGATTTATACTGTTATATTCATAAAATATGTTTTTATTATTTATAAGTAAATATTGGATTTTTTAAAATTTTGTTACAGGTGCGAAGCAATTCCCAGGTTTTGAAAACTTGCCACGTTCATTTTGGCACGAACTTAGTTCACCTTTTACAGAGGTATGTGTAATATAGTATATCACATCAGATTTTTCTAGTTGCTTAGTTAACTTAATGAAAAAATTTTAAACGAAATATTCTTCTTACGCAGAAAGAGCAATTTTGCTGAAAGATTTAATTTTGACTGATACAAAGAGAGAAAGAGAGAGAGAGAGAGAGAGAGAGAGAGAGAGAGAGAGAGATCTGAAAATAATTTTATTGGACTCTCAAAATAAATGTTAAAAATTAAAAGATGAACAATGCTGTAAAAGGTTTTGATATTCTAACAATCAATTTGAGTTTCTTATAGAAAATTATTTTTAGAACTGTATCCAGCAAAATTTTATATCTTTTAATCAAATAGTTCTTTTCGTGTAGACTTGAAGAAAATATAATTACATACAATACATACAATAATTATTTGTTATATATATTTTCTTATGAGATATCAAGATTACCAATATTCTTTTTGTGTGTGCGTATGATTATTATTTTTTCTATCAAAACATGTAGAATTTATGTTTAAAACAATTTATGATAAAACAGAGAATAAAAACAATTGAATAATGTACTATAATAAAATGATTCATTACTAATGTACTAAAACGGTGCATTACTAATAGTATTCAAATTTTGTTTTGTTTCCAACAATATATCTAAATAGAATATTTCATGAAAGCGCAATGTCAATCTTTTGAAGTATTTTAATAATTCAGAGACAGATATAACGCAATATTCAACGTTCAAACTTAATATGCGATTTTTGGAATTACTGTCGAAATAAATAAATTACGTTAATAGAACGTTACAATATTTTTTAAAATTTAACATTGATCTTTGTTACATCTTTTGAACAATTCTCGCAGCGAAACGCGTATTTATTAATGTAAATAAGTTTATCTGTGTTACCAAAATTTGCAATTCAGATTGCTTTTACCGTCATTTCACTGTTTGAATGTTTTGTGTTCACTATTTACTGGGTTTTGGATAAAATATTACACGTACTTACGATTAACGGCATTTGGCTGTTTTATGGTTGTTTTAAGGTAGTTATACCCCAACTGTGCGAGTCAACGACAGACTCTACATAACTCTAAATTTAAATCAATATATATTGTTACGTAAAATCTAAGAATAAAAAAACAATGTATTTTATACACTTACAATATTAAATCATGAAATACATTAATTTAGGAAAAGAAGGAAAATCTACGTGTCACGTAGTACATAAGAGAAATTAGATCGTGGCAATTTTACGTCGCATTTTTACGAGTAGACGAATACAATTACAAGCACAAGCATTAAAGCACCGCTGTCAAAATATTTATATAAAAGACAAAAATGTCCGCACAATCATGATATAAAGGAAAATATATTAAAAGTAAGAAAAGAAAATGCAAAGCGGCTCTTGCGAAGAAACGACAAGAATGGCATAACCTCATTCTTGATGAGAAACGAGATATATCAAATCTATGTGATGACAATCGCATTGTCATTGAAAGTGCGATGCCATATCTACTAGACTTTGTCAATTCTCGAAAAAATATATAAAATCAAGATTTTATATTGATTCAAACTTTAATATCATACGATGAATATTTGCGGTCTTGTTACACATGCTTCTTCATAAATTCAACTACATGAGACTCATTTTTCATTAACTTCTTGAATGCGGTTTCGATGCTATATGAAAATTCGTGTCATATCATGACGAAAATGGCTACAATGGTAAATATAGAAAAATCTACGAAGTTTGATTGGTTCTATCTCAGAAATGGAAATCGAGCTCAAATTTTACAGGCATATATATTAATACTTAAATTACTTGAAACAAAAGTTTCAAGACATTCTTGAATAATATGTTTTAGGGTATAACTACCTTAAGAGATTACAGTTTTCCCGATTATTACCAGTACGTTAAATAATAAAAGGAGAGGATATGAATTTCAGTTCTTATCGTAGGTTTACGAGGTGGAGAGTTTCGTGACTGAAACAGGTGGTACTCCTGAACCAAGGCCATTTTTCGAGGATCCAGAAAGCAACATTACCGTACAACTCGGTGCTCAAGTCTACATGCACTGCAGAGTACAAAATCTACAAAATACTCTTAAGGTAAGTTATATGCGCTTCTTCATTTTCAAGAATATTCGACATAACGTATGAAGCAATGCCGACAGTTTCAGGTTTGCACAACTTATGCAATTTTTGTGTCAACATACTGATATTAAAAGTTTTTCATTAATATGTTATGAATTCTTTTTTCATAACTCTCTTTATTCCTTTACTTTAATTTCTTAGTGCCACTGTGTATTGAACGAATTTGTTGAAGTATTTAAAAATTTAGCTAGATACGGATCTGAAAACATAATAATTGTTGGACTATATCAACGTTCAAGACGGTTGTCAGAATGTGAAAATTGTTTGCAACACTGTTCATACTTGAACGTTTTATATAATTATTTCAATAGTTCAATAAAATAATTTTGTAATTTATATCTAGCTAAATTTTTAGGTACTTTAGCAAAATCGTTCTTTGTGTATGATCCAATTTCTCTCTTCCGATGCTTTTTCAATGATTTTCTGTTGCTTATAACTTTATTTATTAACATACATATATTAATTTATTGGCATCGTTACATTCTTTAATATTTGGCATTTTAAGTGAAGAAAATAAATATTTACATTTTTGTCCCCATTTTTATGAAAATTATTGTATAAGCAGTCTAATTATTTTAGTTAAGTATGCCACACCAAAGTGTATTGCTTTTGTAGTTTCACACCGATGGAGAAATTATCATAAAAATGCAAAAAAACACTGCTGCTAAAATGTTTTACTTCCTATAAGTCCTATATAAGAATATGTATATATATAATAAACATAACATTTTCTCAATGTATGCAATATTACGTTATCTTCTAAAAGCCAAGCACTCCACACTGTTTTATGTAGAGACTTTGTTGATTTTCTCGTCCCTTTTCCCATGTGCAGCTACTGTGCAGCACTTAGCTCATCCTAATTCTCCCAAAGGAAATTCCGCGGATGGCGCGGGCGACAGGATATTTTCCTCCTAATTTTGTGGCTACGCTACTCTATTACTATGACGCAAATGATAGTTATGATGCGCACAAATTTCTGCCTCACCTCTTACATATTTCGTATGTTTATTCAATGTAAAATTGTACGTTTATCGAACATATGAAAATCGAAAATATAAATCATATGAAAATATAAAATGTATTCTGTAATATACAATTTATATTCCTATGTCGTAATTATTTTCATAGAATATGGTTTTTAAAATTTGCAGACGTGCATATAATTATTGAAATACAATTATAAGCAGCATTCTGTGTGAGATTTTCTCTGGTTTTTAGAACATTATTGTTAGTGAAAACTGCAATGATATAACAACGTTATCAGATAGATTCTCAGTATTTTCACTATAATAATTATTATTAAAATAATTTTTAAGTTTTTGCTTAAAATTTCTGCAGTTCTCTAATTTTGAAATACTAATACACTATGATATATTGTTTCTTCGCGTGGCATTGTTTCTGATCGGTGTACACTCATCGCGCTTAAAGGATATAATCCTTAACGTAGATGCAATGAAAGCATTCAGCAGAAACTGATAGTTGTGAGCCTTTGAAATAGTTTCGAACTTGATATTGCCGAAGCTCTTAAGATAAGTAATGCTTTGTTGCTAGTAAATACCGATATATTGATAATGTAATAATTTTACTGTAGTTTTACAAGAAGAAAGACGTATTTATATGAAATAATGTTATTAATTCAGTTAAATTTTGTTCTTTTTAATTGCCATGATTATTAATATGCTTTTCTATGTACAAATTTTTACTTTTTTGAAATCAAATAATTTAACATTTTGCGTAAAATCCATTAATGACGAAAACATTTATCGCGTGTTTGTTTATTTGAGTTACAAACTTGCATTTATGAGGGAAATGTATGTTTGTCGATATCGGTTGCCATAAAAAATGGGAAAAAAGAAACCACCGTTTCATTTGCACCGTTGCATTTGCGATGTATCACGATCAATAAATCGTTGGTGAACTTCCCAATCTCTCGAGCAAAGCTCGAGTCGCATAGGAAGCATTTACAAACAGTGTACCAGAACATTTCGCTCGTTGGTTTGCGAGTACTTGGAATTCAATCTTTCTAAGTGAGAGTGCGGTGGGGGTTGAATGGAACACAAGTTGTTTCATATAGTGGAATGAGAGTTGTATATGTTTATCTGTATTCTTGTAAACGGGTTTTTGAATTCAATTTAAGAACTGATTTAAGAATCTCTCTCTCTCTCTCTCTGAAATTCTTTTTCAACTTACTGGAGATATATGTGAAATAAATTATCGTTGATTTTACATTATTATTATCAAGAAATTACGCGCCGATTATGCCACGTTATTAAAAATATTAAATTCCTAAGCATACATTATCGATAGACGAGCCTAAGTGTTCTTCTGTATTAAGATGCCAAATATTTGCGAGAACGAGCTAACATGCCTTAGGAGGAATTTGTCATGATATTTTCGGCATTTCCCTTGTACTAATTTCCGTAACACTAAAGCGCTTATTTCTGATATTAAATATTAATTTATATATAATTACAATTAATATGTATATTTAATACAATATTACTGTGATACTACATAACAAATAATATATAAATTACTTTAAACTGTACACACATTATTATGTGTTTGTATGGCGAATTAAATATACCTTATATTTTCTCTCTCTCCTTTATTTATATTATTAAATTATCAGTAGAGATATACATATATAATTATATGAGATATTAATATAATAATTATATATATAATATAAAGGTTATCAGAAGAGCTGTCAAAAGTTTCTAGTCAATGAGTAATTTTATCGTATTGCTCAGATAAAGAATTTTCAAATAAAGATCTAGTATATAAATAAAAATCTAAATAGTATGCAAGTATCTTTTAATTGATTCTAGTACTTAAAATATTATGTTTCTAAATTGATGATAACAAGATTAATGTATAATATAATTAAAACCAAATTGACAAAATTAATTTTAAAATATTTAAAATTATATTGGCCGGAAATTTTTGGTAGCTATTGTGTGCGTATACGTGCGCATAAATAAATATATCAAATCAGTAAAACCGCCTCGTAATGAAAGCGGAAGATTGGTTTATTCCGATGAAGCACGAGAAAATTATGGAACAGCAACTTCATTAATAGTAACAAAAGACTTGTTTCTTGCTACACGATCAATAATGTTAATAAGACGGTTGCTTGAACTACTCTCTGTAATGCAGGATCCATGAGTTTGCTGTTCCAGCTGTTTATTCTCAGTCGCCCAATGTCGGACGAGTACGAAGAATGATTGACTTAAACTACTTAAGAACAGCCCATGCCCGTAAGCACTCACCCGTTGCTTGATGAAATAATCAATTTATGTAAAGTATCTCGGTGCGCATATTTTAACTACGTTCTGAATACATTTATTTTGAACTATCCTACTCTCGTTTTAAAATATTAAAGTCCTATACGCTCAAGGACAAGTCGTATTAAAGAAATTCGTATAATGGAAAGGAAAACGTTTAATATTTCATAATTTTTTTTGCATTATCTAATGCATACGATATGATATTGATTAGATATTAAGAATGTTATCGATATTGAGTAATAGAATATTGTTACTATTGATACGTAAATTAACAAGGAGATAGACTACTTTTAATTGATGTAACACAAGTTTTTCATACATTCAGATTTTTAATCTTCGACTATAGCAATTTATTTGGAACCGGCAAAAATTGTGGAATATAAAGCAACTCCTAAAAGTTTCCTCTTCTATTTTATATACGATTATATAATCTGTACAATTGGTATTATGAGAAAAAAGTTCTAAATTATACAGATAAAAAGCTTTGAATCTTTTTCTATCAATGGGCAGTAAGATGGAGGTTTATTTGCAGTCTATACTTTAAACAAAATACTTTAGAGAATTTAGATATAGTTTTCATAACTGTGTAATAGAGAGTTAATGACAAAATATTTATAACATGATACAAATTTTTGGATTAATGAGATTGATTAAAAATCTAATTAAATAAGAAAATTCTTATATTGGGTCAAAGCAGATCTTAGTGCTAAAATATTTCTGTGAATTTATACTATATATAATCTGATTCCGCAAAATACGCGCTGAAATCTTGTTCAGTCTTGAAATGCAATTATGAGCAGAACCGAAGTAATAATATATGTTATTTATTAAATTTATAAGCAATTTATAATTTTTTTGATGCTAATAAATATCTTTATAAGAATATTAGATAATAATAAAATGTTAATAAGAATCTTAAATCTACGAAAAATTTTATTGCGAAAATATTTATAACCTAGATCTTTAAAAATACAGATAACCTAATTATTAACTTTAAAAAAAAAAAGAAAGTTAATAAACTATCAAATTCAATTTTGAAATGATATGTAATTAACTTAAATAAAATATATAATATGTAAAATGGCTTAAAATATTGATCGTTAATGGATTCAAATTGATAAACATGTATAAAACAGATAGAATTTTTAAAAGCTAGCTTTTTGGATCTCTCTCCTGATGATCATTGAAAGCACAACTCAACGCTTCATGATCTTACTCATTCGCACGTAAAAAGTGTATGTATGATAATATTTTAGGGATTACATTCTAATTAATCAGATCTATATTATTATGTGTATATAATACATGAGAAAACCAGAGAACAGTAGGTACTCAAAGTTACTGATGCGATGCAAATAGCCGTGGTTCTTATAAGTAGGACTTCTGTATTCTGAATTGTCTCGAAGTCGTTACGAACTTCTTCCTGTTTTCGCGACTTTCCGCGCATATTACGTTCACATAGGACGAACTTTTAACGGTATTTCTCGTCTTGAGCCACATTCAAGTTTACATCAGTGTAATTAGTTTGACGAGGACTCGTTACTACATTAATTATAAGTGAACTAGACTCTCTTCTATGATGATACGATGGTAATGTCTTTCGTTCCACATTGCTTAAAGCAGATAGAGATCGTACGTCGGCGAAAGAAACATCTGTACAATGTA